AACTTATCAACATTTAATAAATCTATTTAAAGAACATCATATTATACAATTACAAATTCAAATTATCTATGGTAAAGCAGGTATTGGTAAGTATATAAGTAACGCTCGTATGTGGACTTGCTCAGCTCTTTTTCGTAGAAGTGCTGTTTCTGGACTCTTCTCAAATTATTCACTTATCTATACAACTAATAGTAACTAGTTCCAGATTGAAATTCTTGTTTTTGAATTTCCTCTAGTGAAGTTTTTTTTAAACTATGTTGACATTAGTATACTTTACTACTTCTTAATATTGCTAGCTTATTAACACAAATTTATCATAGATTCTCGTTTTTTTTATTGGAAAAATTTTTGATCAAGTTTTCCAGAAAAAACACTAATAATAGTAGTATTTAGAAAAAAAATCAAAACAGACTTCGGATTCAGGTTTCTGACCCTCAATTTCTCCTTTTCGAGTGCTGTAAAAAAATATTAATGATTAATAATTATGTAATAATATGTTAATAAATAAAACCGGCCTCCGATTCGGATTGTCCACCTTCGATTACCTTTGGTCAATTTTTTTGAAAAAAATTAATAATTAGTAACCAGTTAATTATTAATTATTAATTAATCAATTAAAACTGACCTCAGATTTGGATTCCTTACCCTCAATTACCTTTGGTTAATTTTTTTATAAAATATTAATAATTAATAATCAATTAATTAAAATCGAGCTCGGATTCGTATTCTTCACTCTGAATTACCTTTGGTCACGTTTTATAGAAAACATGAATAATTAATAATTGATTAAAATTAACCACAGATTTGAACTTCCCACCCTCGATTATCCTTTGGTCAAGTTTTATGAAAAATAATCCCTTTTATTTTCATCTTATTCTTGGACCAATCAGTGAAGTGAGAACATACTATCAAGCAAGCAAGCAAACAATTTATTCTTGCTAGACAGTTCTCTACGAGAAAGAGAATAATCTTCATTATTTAAAGAAAAAGATTTTTTGTTCTACTTTTTCGTTTCAGGTAAAACTCATCGTATCAATAAAGAATATAAGACTGATCATACATTATGTTTTAGTATTAATGATAAATTAAATCTTTCATTATTAATTAGTTCATTTCTTTTATTTGATTCAAATATGATTAATAATAATAATAATAATCCATCGATTTTTTTCAATATATCTATTCATGCACCATTTGAAACATTAAATCGAATATTATTTTCACTTTTTATTTGTGGATGTTTAAATGATCCAATTAGTGGTCTAATCTTTTCTTTATCAAATATTCAAACATGGAAATTTATTATTGAAATTCCTTATTCAGATGTTTCTGGTGTTGATATTCAAGAAAATTTCAATCAAATTTTACCTATTCTTTCTATTATTTCACCATTAACATTAGAAGAAGTTACTAATGAAAATTATCAATTATCAATTGATAAAGAAGAAGAACTTGTAGCACGATTTTTAAAAGCATTTGAAAATGGAACTATTGATCGTATGATAACAATAACAAAAACTGGTCGTGAAATACCTGTTAGTTTTGAACCAATAACTAATATTAATGAATGTCGAACATATATTTATAATTGTATTCAAAAATATGCTCCAGAATTACCAAAAAATAAAATCTATGAAGTTTCATTTACTAAATTTTTATATCGTCGTATACGTTTTTTTCAAGGATATTATTATTGTTGGAATGATAATATTGAACATTTAGGTAGTATTACTATACAACAAATGATTAATGAAGCAAAATTTTTAACACAAATTAATTTTCAAAATAATGATTATCCTCGTATTTATCTTATTTATGATCCAGGATTTTCTTTACATTTATTACATGCTGATTGGAATTATGTTTCAAATGAATTAAAAAGTTTTTTTAATAATCATGATCCATTTAAAGATATTGAATATCAAAATAAAGATTATTTTGTTGAATGTTTATCATGGTTAATTAATATTAAATATGAAATATTTATGAAAATTATTTATGAAACAAAATTTATTTTAACAGAAAATTTTGCTTATAAACTTTTTCATATACATGAAAGAAAATTAACTAAATTAGCATTAATTATTGAAGGTGATACTGGTTTAGGTAAAACATTTCTATTAAAATTCTATTCATTATTATTAAATTCAAAAAATACACATGATTCTCTTCAAGGAAATATTATTCCAACAATTATAGAAAATTCTAGTCAATTTCTTCTAAATATTATTGAAACAATTGTAGAACAACAAGCAAATATTTTGAGTATATTTCTTCAACGAATTAAATCAAAAATCTTAGATTTAGAAAATGATGATGAACTTCCAAATCAACGCCCAAGAGAAATATCAGTTCTACTTACAGCAGAACAACAACAACAACAAAATAATGTACCAGTTGATAATGTTCTATTAAAACAAGTTAAACTTTCTTTAAAAAAATATCAATTAAAGAAGAATACTTTATATTATATTTGGAAAACAATTCTAGATGTTTCAAGTGAAAATCCTATGGCTTCAACAACAACATTAATTCAAAAATTACATGACTATATTATTAATGAATTAGCTAATTATCCATTAATTGAAAGTAGTTCTCGATTGAAAATTTTACTTCAAGAAATTTCTTCACCTACAATTGAAATATCGATTGAAATATTTAAAGAATATTTATTTCATAGTCAAATAAAACCATTATTCTATCG